ATCCCCATGTTCTAAAAGGGGAATTACCACAGGCACAGGTGCTTCCATCTACATCAGACCGCAGACAATTGCCCTGTGAAAAGAAGAAGAAAATCGCAGAGGTTAAAGATGCTCTTAAATCAGGTTTTGGTTGCTTTTGTCAGATGACAAAGATTGCATATTTTCATCTAGTTCTCAGTCGGAGAGGTTTTCAGCACTGTATATGCAACTCTACAGAATATGCAACACTGCATATGCAATGCAATTCACTGTGAAGAAAATAATAACATTCCAGTTTATGTTCACAAATCTTCAATCTGGGCTCCAAAATTTAATAGCCTCTTTAGAATATTTAAATAACAGAAGTGCTATTACTGGGTTCCTATGAAACAAGACCCAAAGCCCCTGAACATGGCCACAGTCCTTCTGTTTTTTCATCTGTCGGGAAGAGACTCATCATTAAGCCAAAAAATTAATTGTTCCATGTTTACTATATAAATATTTACCTCTTATTGAATAAATTGAACAATTTATTCAACAAATAAGCTTCCTGTATTAGTGTGGGTAGACTAGAGAAACAAATCTAGGGAGACTCATGTGTATACAAAAGAGTTTTATATAAAAGAGTAATCGTATATTAAGAAAACATCCCAGCCCATTCCAGATCAAAGCCATAGTCCAATATTAGCCCATATGTCCAATACCAACCTGTAAATTCTTCTTCAGACTCATCCAACATATGCAATGATGCTGGAAGATCACAGTCCAGTGGGTAGAAAGTCTTGTGACTCCAATGGCGGTGTAAGCATCTCAACGCTGGCAGGCATCTCCACGTGGCTCCTTCAGTGCCAGGACTCTAGCATAGGTCCATGTGTCTTGTCAGTTGGGATGTCTCACAGGGAGTGTGTGTGTGTGTCTTGCCTCCAGCAAGCTATTTACCTCCTTAGCAGCTCCAAATGAGGTCACCAAGCTGTGACCTGATTGACAGGCTAAACGTCACCCCTTCACTCTTAAGTTTCAAACTGACAAGAGATTATGTAACTACCACACTTCCCATCCTTACAATTTTCCCAAACAAGTTTAGTGTTGATGACATTCCACAGAGCCTTTGTCCAACAGAAGTTTACCATTCAGCCAGGGATGACTGTTTTGCAGGGTCCGAAGATGCCGAAGCAATGACAGAGTAGAGGAGAACGTACTTGACGACAACAGAGTAAAGACTAATTTGGAATGAACCAGATCTACTGTGCATGTAATTGTATCAAATGACCTTCTGGAGTCCTACCAAGACAATTTCATGACATCACAAAAAGAGAGCTTAGTAGGAGTACAACATAGAATATCCACGTTTAGAAACATTCAGAGGGTCTAGAAGGAGAAAGAAGGAGAGAGGTCACTCACTGAAAGCCACTTTCTTACAAATCCTCGACAAAAGGCGGACACTGATTTTTCTTTACAGTATCCATAATGAGTCTAGAGAATATCAGATAAAAAAGGGTCCGTTGTCTATTCTCATTTTACTCTGAGAAAAGTGACCCCTACCATGGAACGTGACTAGTTCATTCTCTATGGTTCACAAATTGTGTAGACTTCCCTTGAGCCAGAATGTTAACTCCTAACTGCTCTCTCATTAGCTCTCATGGGAGCACATGACCCCCTCTGACTTCCGAAGCAGAGGAGGAAGAGAGCCACCAGCATCAGCCCAAGGCCGATGTCTGTGAAGCGGACGTCAGAAATGCCTCCAGCCTTGAACCTTATTTTCACCAGTTTGGGCACCAACTCTCCCTTCCATGGCACTGTACTTCTCTACTAGGTTCTACAATCCATTGTAATGGCCGCACAAAACTCACAGACAAGCCTCTCAATGGCAAGAGTTCATTAGAGAAGTTAACAGGTTATAATTTGGGATCAGAAGCATCGGTTCTCAGTCAGGAGCACCTCTTCTCTGCTGTACCCACTGGTGTACTGCTCTCTGGCCCCGCCACCACTGCTCCTCGGACATGACTCTCCACTCCTCTGGCACCAGATCCCTTCTGGATGAAGAACGACCGCCTGCTTTTCATTTTTGGGGGTGGTGAGATTCTCCACCTCCCAATTCCAGCTTCTAATAAGGCTCCTTTTAAATCCAGCAGAATGGCAAAATTGAACAATCCCCTCAGGATCGACCCAGTAGAAGGCCCAAACTGCCCAATCCTCTCAAAATAAGGCCCACGAGCCTTCTAGCTGGGGTCTCACACACTCATTTGGTGGGTGTTACAGAGACGATGACTGGGAGAACCATACCATGTAATTTCACTTTACTGCACTCTTTCACGTGTGCCTTAAAACACATCAGAGACTTATAAAGCTGCAGTAGGCCTTGCTCAATGTCATTGTTCTAAGACTTGAGGGTCTCAGTGCACCAATTCCACACCAACCCAAGACTGATTCCCACAAGCAGAGGATCAGGCACGCCTATATCCAACACCCTTCTTTTACACGATTCTGAAAACAACCATTCCTCCCACAGCATTCTACTTCTTCATTGCAATGACCACCCAGGACTCACAGAAAATCATCATGATTTTCAGGGCTCATTAGGGAAGGTAACAGATTGCCATAATCCAGGATCAAAAACAGTAAGGATACAGGCGTTGGTCTGGTTCACAGCAGCATCTCTTCTCAGCCAGCAACCAAGTCCCTCTCTGACTTCAGCCTGTCAGTCATGCCTTTCCTTGGCTTCTGCTTCCCTGAGCTGGAAACCTCCCTGCTGTTCTGCATCTGTGCCCCCAAATCTTAGCAGCATGGCTCCTTTGATTGATCTCAGCATAACTATGCTGCTGCCTGTACCACTGCACTGCAGGTGGCTTTTCTTTCTGGGAAATCACGGAAATCTTCCTGCTTTGGAAATGATTCTCTTTACCCAGGAAATGGCAAAACTGACCAATCCCCAAATTAGAGTCTTAGGTACTTTATTTAAATGCCCTACACCATCTGTCCACCCCTTGTCTGTCAGTTTGTTGTACTGTGGTGGTTTGTGTGTTGTTGTGATGCTGGAAGCTA